CAAATGGTGCTGGGAAAACTGGGTTTCCATGTGCAGAATCATGAAGCAAGACCCCTACCTTTCACCTTACACAAAAATCCACTCAACATGGATTAAAGACTTAAATCTATGACCTGACACCATCAAATTATTAGAGAGCATTGGAGAAACCCTGCAAGATATAGGCACAGGCAAAGATTTATTGGAAAAGACCCCAGAGGCACAGGCAGTCAAAGCCAAAATTAATAACTGGGATTGCATCAAATTGAGAAGTTTCTGTACTGCGAAAGAAACAGTCAGGAAAGTGAAGAGGAAACCGAAAAAATGGCAAAAAATATTTGCAAATTATGCAACCGATAAAGGATTAATAACCAGAATCTACAAAAAGGTCAAGAAACTCCACAACATCAAAGCAAACAACCCACTTAAGAGATGAGCCAAGGACCTCAATAGACATTTTTCAAAAGAGGAAATCCAAATGGCCAACAGACACATGAAAAAATGTTCAGGATCACTAGCCATCAGGGAAATGCAAATCACAACCACAATGAGGTTTCACCTCACCCCGATTAGAATGGCTTACATACAGAAATCAACTAACAACAGATGCTGGCGAGGATGTCGGGGGTAAAGGGACACTAACCCACTGTTGGTTGGAATGCAAACTGGTAAAGCCACTATGGAAGACAGTTTGGAGATTCCTCAGAAACCTGAATATAGCCCTACCACATGACCCAGCCATCCCACTCCTTGGAATTTACCCAAAGGAAATTAAATTGGCAAATAAAAATGCTGTCTGTACCTCAATGTTTATTGCAGCTCAATTCACAATAGCTAAGACCTGGAATCAACCAAAATACCTAAATGCCCATCAACAGAAGACTGCATAAAGAAATTGTGGGAAATGTACTCTATAGAATACTACACAGCAGTAAAAAAAAAAATGAAATCCAGTCATTTGCCACAAAATGGAGGAATCTGGGAAACATCATGCTGAGTGAAATAAGTCAGTCCCAAAGGGACAAATATCATATGTTCTCCCTGATCGGTGACAACCAACCGAGCACCTGAAAGGAAACCTGTAGAAGTGAAACTGACACTATGAAAAGCAATGACTTGATCAGCACTTGTCCTGTCAAAGAACAACTTACTATTTTATCCCTTTTAGTATTTTTTTATTCTACTTAATAACACTGGTTGAACTCTTTAATTAACAATTATTCCTAGGTGTTTAAACTTAACTGAAAAGTGATCCCTGTTAAATATAAGAGTGGGAGTAAGAGAGGGAGGAGATGTACAGTTTGGCACTTGCTCACATGGACTTACCCCTAATGGTAGAGCTAGAAACGTGCCAGAGATTCCAATTCAATCCCATCAAGGTGGCATGTATCAATGCCATCTCACTAGTCAAAGTGATCAGCTTAAGTTCATAACTGATCATAATGATAGGGTTAGGTGTCAAAGGAATAACATAAACAAGACTAGTGTCTGCTAATAATAACTGCTATAATTAAAAAGGAGAGAATGATCCAACATGGGAAGCAGGATACACAGCAGACTCATAGATGGCAGATGTCCTAAACAGCACTCTGGCCTCACAATCAGCCTATAAGACATTCAGATCTGGCTAAAAAGCCCATGAGAGTTTCTCAGGTATGGAAAGCCAAGACACTGTGGCAAAAAAAAAAAATGACCTAAATGAAAGATCTCTGTGAGATCCCAGCAGAAAGAACAGGCCATCAAAGGAGGTACCTTTCTCTGAAGGAAGGAGAGAATTTCCACTTTGATTATGGCCTTGTCTAAATAAGGTCGGGGTGTGTGAACTCAAGAGGCTTCCAAAGCCTTGGCAGCTCATGACAAGAGCTTCGGGTGGTTACTGATGTCATAAATAAGAGTGTCAATTGTTAAATCAACAACAGGAGTCACTGTGCACCTACTCTCCATGTAGGATCTCTGTCCTTAATGTGTTGTACTATGCGAATTAACGGTAAAACTACTACTCAAACAGTATTTTAAACTTTGTGTGTGTGGGTGCAGTCTGTTGAAATCTTAGTATATACTAAGTTGATCTTCTGTATATAAAGATAATTGAAAATGAATCTTGATGAAGAATGGGATGGGAGAGGGAGTAGGAGATGGGATGGTTGTTGGGCGGGGGAGGGAGGTTATGGAGGGAAAAGCCACTATAATCCTAATGCTGTACTTTGGAAATTTATATTTATTAAATAAAAGTTGAAAAAAATTAGTTAATCCTGAGAAAGGTAACCCTTTTCAACGGTTCTCTCTACAATTTTCACTGATCTTGCTCCAAGCACAGGCAAAGTCAGCAAGTCTCTGAATTCCAAGGAAGAACAAGGATCTTGTTGTTGTCACCTGAACGTTGAAAGCTGTTTCCACCAGGTCCAGCTTGGGAGGCCCACAGAGAGGAATTGTGGTGATTTTTCCACTGTGGGCTGCCCTTGCCCTTGGTGGAAGGGGGTGAATACTAACTTAGTTGTGTTCTCGGACAATCTTGGCAGAACAGCCAGGCCAAACTCACAATAAATTTGCAATGTCAGTACACCTAGGAAAAAACCAGGTTGAATGTTTGCCTTCCTTAAAAAAAATGGGCTGTTCCTTGCAGTTAGTGCTTAGAGAATGGGACAGAAGATGCAACCAGATGGGGTCAGTTAGGTGCTAAGAAAGAAATGGATTTCAAAATGAAGTTGGTGAGTGCTAGGAGATGATGATGGTGATGATGATAAAGGAGGAGGAGGAGGAAGACGAGGAGGCGGGGAAAGGAGAAGGAGAAGGAAGAAGAGGAGAAGGAAGGAGAAGAAGAAATTATTAGAAGTGAATCCACAAACATCTCTAACAGGTATAAGTCATTACACTGATTATTTTCATAGCATTTTAATCTTCCCACTATTGCTGGTAAATAGTCATTGTGATCCCCAATTTATAGGAGAGTGAGAACCACAGAGATTAATGAGGCTGCTCAAGTCACTGAGCTGGCAAAGGAGAGAACTGTGATTCAACTCCAGGTTTAGATGGTGTCATTGGTGCACTTTCCATTACTGCAAGTGGTTGTGGAAAGCAAAGAAGTAATGAGGAGTCTGGCTGTTCCAGGGCAACTTCATCACCATGTCTGGGAGACCCCACAAGCAGACAAGATGGGAAGGAGCCAGAGAAACACTGAGTCCTGAAGAGGGGAGGGAACTGGTTCAAGATGAGATCAAAATGGAAACAAACTCACAGAAGTAGCTGCATGTCCCCAGAGTGGAGCCCCAGTGACCCGGGCAGAAGCTCCTTCATGAATTCACTTGGGTACAGCAATCTTTCCTTACCCATTGCCACGAAAGAGGGTGGGTCACAGTGAGATGGAGGGGAAGGGAGAAGTGAGGACAAATGCTTTCTATGTAAGACAGAACTTTCTAGAACAGAACTGGCTGCCTTTCTGGGTAGTGAATTCCCCACAGTGGGAAGTGTTCAAAACAGAGATGTTTCGGTATATTATATCAGGAACTCAAGGATCAAGCTGAACTTCATGACTGCCTGTTTCTCTTGAACTTGAGATTTCACCATCCTAATCCCACTGCCCTGGCTTTACCAGAAATTTTCACACTGATCTCCTGGGTAAGCCCATAAACCCTCAAATCCCCTTCCCCAAGATATGGGTGTCCTCCTTCGGTCAACTCTGATAGAAGATCCAAGTGAGAAGTTGAGAAATCTGCGGCCAGCACTGTGGCACAGAAGGTTAAGCCACCACCTGCAGTGTTGGCACCGCCCTCCCCCACCCCATGTGGGCTCCAGTTCAAGTCCTGGCTGCTCCACTTGCGATCCAACTCCCTGTTAATGCACCTGGGAAAGTAGCAGTTGGCCCAAGTCCTTGGGACTCTGTCATCCATATACCCATGTTGGAGACCCCAAAGAAGCTCTGGGCTCCTGGCTTCAGCCCAGCCCAGCCCAGCCCAGCCCCTTGTAGCCATTTGGGAAGTGAATGAGTAAAGGGAGCTCGCTCTCTCTCCCCCACCTCCACCCTTCGCTCCCTCTCTGCCATTCAAATAAGTAAATAAATTTAAAAAAAAGATGTTGAGAAATCTAAGAATAGTCATTTCACTCTTACAAGGTTACACACTAATAGCTTACTTATTGAACTGACCCCCAAAAATTCTACCTCTACCATAGTGTCTTGAGTAAGAATAACTGAATTTGAGTCACCTCCTGACTCTGAAACTTCCTAGTCAAACCATTTCACATAAAGCACATTTGTGAGGGCCCCTCTAAACATCAGCCATTCTGTTCAACATGGAACTGTGCTATCAACACAGCAGCCACTAGCCAGCCACATGTGCCCAATGAGCACTTCAAGAGGACAGCACTGATCCGGACATCAGGGAAGAAGACAAGTCTATGTGCAAGGTTTAATATGGGGCAGGTAAAAGAATTGCATGTGTTAGAAGTTCTATCGTAGGAGTATGCTTAGCGTGGGTGTAACTGAAACCCACTTTGTAGGACTGGCATCATGGCAGGAGTGAGTCTGAGACCCTTATGCAGGTGCAATGCCTCATGTATTTGTATGACAACACTGAAGGCAGCCCAAGCACTCTGGCCACCTACTGTGATGAGATGTGGCTCTCTGCACATTTCCTATATAGGCTTTAGTTGTAGGAACTCAACTAATAAGTGACAACTAATAAGTGACATCTGAACTTTTAATCAAAAGCCACCAGTTCTTGCTCTTTAGTCAATGCTGCTTCAAATTAGCTGTGTCTCATTACCCACTTTCCTAAAACCTGTCACCAACATGGTCTTTAAATTTTATGACACTTTGAGCAAATCATAGCTGTAACAGCCCAAGTGAAAACAAGGCCATTTTGCACATATCGCAGGCTGATATTTTCTTCATGCATTTCAGTCTCCCTTGTGCTATAGTCAAGTTCAGACCTATCACCTCTCTTAAATTCTGTCCTTGAACCTCTGACCACAGCCTGCAAATGTGTTCAGCCTTGAGTATTAATAGACAAATAGCAGTGAGGCCGGATGGATTTGTTGGTTGGATTGGAGACTCTGGAAAACAGCTTAGAGCAACTTTAAAATAGCAACAGTGAAATAAACACACCAGTTACACAGGGTGGCCAGGGGTTGTGCTGCAAACAGCAATTTATTAAAGAAAATAAAACCTTGGTGACAGCTTTAAAATCCTCATCAAAACATTTTTTGTCTAAAAGCAGTATTTTTACAGTTCCTATTCCCTGGCTAAAAATGTGCTGCTTCTTCTTAAATAGCCCTTTCAGAAACCCAGATCCAGCCCAGGAGACGAGCTAGTGACATCATCCTGCTCTACAAAAAATGAATTGTTCAGCATCCAGGAAAATGAAATGAAGATTGCGTTCCCCAAAGGCAAGGTGGGGAAGGGGCTGCCCCCTCTCATTACCTGTGGTGTGTATGTAGCTCTGTGTGTGTATAGGTATATACGCACGTGCACAGCTCTTGATGCAGTTTTGTTCAGCTTGCTGCTATTCCACAGCTTTTCTTGTTGACCGTTTGAGGGAGGGGCTTTGCCTAAATGGAGCAGGCCACATCAAATGTCAGCATTTGTAAAAAGGACAACAGTCTTTGATTGTTAATAATGTTCTCAGATTCACCTGTACCCCCAATACCCTCCACTCCCTACCTCTTCTCCCAACCAACCATGTCAGCCAATTAGCTTTTCTTCTTTTTTTTTTTTATTTTGTTTCTGGTTTTTATTTTTGTTTTTCATGGTTTTTTTGTTTATTTGTTTGTTTTTTGTTTCTTCCATGAAGGAGACTGGATTGAACTTGGAATCCCTGTAGAAGAAAGAGATGTTAAGGGAAAGTCCCCATCCCTGTCTATCTCGAGGTCAAGCACCTACACAACATCAGAGACTCCCCTGTGCTGAGAAGGAAGGTTTCTTAGCATGACTCCAAGTGGTGCTGCACCAGGTGAGTCCCTTCACTCTTCCATGGGTTGACTTGCTGCTTCCCTTCGTTGGTCAAGTGCCTTATCGCTTGAGTCTCAAGAGGAGGTAGGAATGGAAGGAAGCAAATCAAATCTTCCCTGCTACACATTAGTAAATATTTATTGGGCAAATATTATGTGCCAAGTACCATAACTACATGCATAGTTGAGCAACTGTCACATAGCCTCCACCCTTCAGGAGCTTGGAGAATCAATATCCAGCACATAAATGGATTAAGTCAATGAAATCTTAAATGAGTACCCAGTTGTGATAAGGGCTATCAAGAAAGTGGGGCACTTTGAAGGCAAACAGCAGGGTAGGACCTGTGGAGATTATGCAGGTGGAAAAGTCCTGTCTGAGGAAGGGACACATCGGGTCAGACCTGAAAGACAAAAAGTGACATGAACATAAAGTTCAAGTGTGGGAGGCACTGCACACAGAGACAGAGGCAAAGCATGTGCAAAAACACTACTAGGGCAGAGGAAGAAACTTGGGTACAATTCAAAAGATGGCAAAAGGTCTCTGTGACCAGAGAATATCACCAAGTAGAGCCAAGTAAAGCCTCATCAGGACAAAGGCCTCATAAACCTTATTAAGGTTGGGTTCATCTTAAGCATGATGAAGAAATCTGGAGGGTTTAAGGAGAAGAGTGGCAATTCGCTTTACTGATGCATGGAGCATTCATTTGTGTTGGATAGAGCTGAGGTGACATGGGCTAGGACAAGAGATCTTGGTGACTTGGGTTGGGATGAGCAGTAGAGAACAAAGATGGCAAACTGACATGCAGATGGGGAGAGGAACCACAGCCCTTGCTGCTGACAAGGCTATAGAGAGGGGTGTTGACGGCAAGGGCATAAAGATGACCCTCAGGTTTCCAAATTGCCCACTTTCTAGATGATGGAAACAAAACTGTGACATGGACAGCTCAAGGACATTAGTGGGGTAAGAATACAGAGTTTAGTCATTGACTTGTGGGTTTGCCATGTATCTGAGACACCCAACTGGAAGTGTCACATGGGAAAGGGGAACCGAGTCTGAAGAGAGGCCAGCCAAGCTTGGGAGGTAACTGTGGGAGCCCCAGACAGAGAACTTGAGGCCACAAAAAAGGAACAGGATCATCTAGTGAGAGTCCAGAGGATTCAAGTAATAGGAACACCCAGCAGTAAAGGTGAAGAAGAGGCAAATTGTCAAGCTTTTAATCAGAACAAACATGTGAGCTTCAGGGAACCACTCGGTAGGATGCTTTAACGGTAGATACAGGTCATGAGACATTTGTCCAAACCCACACAATGGGTACTACCAAGAGTGAACAGGAATGTAAACTACAGACTCCCATTAATACCAACACAGCAATACTTGTTCATTGGTTGTAACAAATACACCACGCTAATTCAAGATGCTGATTACACAAGAAAGAGTGGGAGGGGTCAGGGTGGGAAGCAGGAATATATGGGAATGCCCTCTATTTCCTGCTCCTTTTTTCTGTCAACGTAGATCTATTGTAAAAAATCAAGTCTGTTAATTTAAGAATGCAGCATAGGCTTTAGGATATGGCTTGCAGAAGAACAAATCAAAAAGGTGCCAGAGCCAGCGCCGCGGCTCACTAGGCTAATCCTCTGCCTTGCGGCGCCGGCACACTGGGTTCTAGTCCCGATCGGGCACCAGATTCTGTCCCGGTTGCCCCTCTTCCAGGCCAGCTCTCTGCTGTGGCCAGGGAGTGCAGTGGAGGATGGCCCAAGTGCTTGGGCCCTGCACCCCATGGGAGACAGGAGAAGTACCTGGCTCCTGCCATGGGATCAGCGTGGTGCGCCAGCCGCGGCGGCCATTGGAGGGTGAACCAACAGCAAAGGAAGACCTTTCTCTCTGTCTCTCTCTCTCACTGTCCACTCTGCCTGTCAAAAAATAAATAAAAAATAAAAAAATAAAAAAAAAAGGTGCCAGAGGCTGGCATCGCAGCTCAGTAGGCTAATCCTCCGCCTGTGGTGCCGGCACCCTGGGTTCTTGTCCCGGCTGGGGAGCCGGATTCTTTCCTGGTTGCTCCTCTTCCAGTCCAGCTCTCTGCTGTGGCCCCGGAATGCAGTGGAGGACGGCCTAAGTGCTTGGGCCCTGCACCCGCACAGGAGACCAGGAGGAAGCACCTGGCTCCTGGCTTCGGATCGGCACAGTGCAGGGGCCATAGCAGCCATTTGGGGGGTGAATATACAGAAAAGAAGACCTCTCTCTGTCTCTAACTTTTCCTGTCAAAAAAAAAAAAAAAAAGTGCCAGAAGCTTTATGATAAAGGAAGAAAAGCTTAAAAATAATATAGATTTATTTTAAAGAAAAAAGACATCTTGACCTTGCAAGTCTAGCTTGAGTACAATGCAGATCAAACACCCAGGAGAAACCTTGAGTTTTCTACCCGACATCTTTTCTTAGTGAAGGGTTTGGGAGAATGGTAAAGAACATTTTTGGGTCAAGCATGAGATCAATTGGAAAGCATTCATCTTGTTGCTCTATTTAAACCAAAGCACATTTTCACAGCCCAGATCTTCTGAAGTCAATCAAAACTAGATTATAATATCTAATGCCCTTGGGATCTTATCATCAGACAAAACAGTTTAATTTTTCTTAGGCTCACTGTCAACCGCCTGTAAGATGAGGAGAATGCCTATCCTACAGGCTTACTCTGAAGACTGAAATTACTTGGTATTCCGTACATTGTATACACTATTATAATTAATACTACAGGTCTTATTATATAGTCTATATTGTGCTAAGTGCTCTGTAAACCATTATTTCATGCCATCTTTCCAACAGCCCTTTAAAGCAAGCATTCCTAGCCCAACTGTCAAGAGTAAAGACTGATGGGGCTGGCACTGTGCACAGTAGGTTAACCCTCCGCCTGCAGCGCCAGCATCCTATATGGGTGCTGGTTCTACTCCTGCCTGCTCCACTTCTGATCCAGCTCTCTGCTATGGTCTGGGAAAGCAGAAGATGGCCCAAGCCCTTGGGCCCCTGCACCCACATGGGAGACCAGGAAGAAGCGCCTGGCTCCTGGCTTCGGGCTTCGGATCAGTGCAGCTCCAGCCGTGTGGCCATCTGGGGAGTGAGCCAGTGGAAGGAAGACCTTTCTCTGTCTCTCCATCTCACTGTCTGTAACTCTACCTCTCATATAAATAAATAAAATCTTTATAAAAAAAAATAGAGCAGGCCCGCGCTGTGGCTCACTTGGCTAATCCTCTGCTTGCAGCGCTGGCACCCGGGGTTCTAGTCCTGTTTGGGGCACCAGATTCTGTCCCAATTGCTCCTCTTCCAGTCCAGCTCTCTGCTGTGGCCTGGGAAGGCACTGGAGGATGGCCCAAGTGCTTGGGCCCTGCACCCGCATGGGAGACCAGGAGGCACCTGGCTCCTGGTTTCAGATTGATGCAGCACACTGGCAGTAGCAGCCATTTGGGGGGTGAACCAATGGAAGGAAGACCTTTCTCTTTCTCTCTCTCTCTCTCTCTCCTCTCTCTCTCTCACTGTCTAACTCTGCTTGTCAAAAAAATAAATAAATAAAGACTCAGAGTTGACTTGACTAAGATCACATGGTCAATAAATGAAGGAAGTGATGTGAACAGAGACCAGCCTGTTTCCACAATGCTCTCAATGCTTTTGTACAGGCTGCCCTTATAGGTAAAGTAATAACAAGTAAAAATCTTTTTTATGGAGCCAGCACTGTGGTGTAGCTGCTGAAGCTGCCACCTGCAGCACCAGCATCCCATATGGGCACTGGTTTGGGTCCCTGTTGCTCCAATTCCTATCTAGCTCTCTGCTATGGCCTTGGGAGGGCAGTGGAGGATGGTCCGGTGCTTGGGCCACTGCACTCATGTAGGGGACCTGGAGGAAGCTCCTGGATCCTGGCTTCAAATCAGCCTAGCTCTGGCTGTTGCAGCCATTTAGGGAGTGAGCAAGCAGATGGAAGGCACCTCTCCCTCTCTTTCTCTCTGCCTCTGCCCCCTGTAATTCTACCTTTCAAATAAATTAATAAATCTTTAAAAAAATCATTTTCATTTCACACTCACATTGCTAAATTATGTCATACTATTTACCTCAGTACTCTGACAGTGGTTTTATTTTTTTTTTTATTTTTTGACAGGCAGAGTGGACAGTGAGAGAGAGAGACAGGGAGAAAGGTCTTCCTTTACCGTTGGTTCACCCTCCAATGGCCACTGTGGCCGGCGCACTGCAGCCGGCGCACCGCGCTGATCCAAAGCCAGGAGCCAGGTGCTTACTCCTGGTCTCCCATGTGGGTGCAGGGCCCAAGCACTTGGGCCATCCTCCACTGCACTCCTGGGCCACAGCAGAGAGCTGGACCGGAAGAGGAGCAACCAGGACAAGAACCCGGGGTGCCGGCTCCGCAGGCGGAGGATTAGCCTATTAAGCCGCGGCACCGGCCCTGACAGTGGCGTTAATACACAGATAGATTACAAAGTCATTCTAGCTGAGGAAATGAAGATGGGTGAGAATATGGTTTTCTTTACTAAGATTCAGAAGGAAAAAGTAACCCCTGGATTCTTTCACTTCAGACCTCTCATTGCTGCAACCGCTGGCCCCTGTCCACCCCTACTCATCTAGACAACCACGTGGAGTCCACTGATGCTTTGCCATATGTCAAACTCAGCCAACCTTCGACACACCTGCATGAAAGTCTACAGCTTTTGGAGCAAAAGCCTATCTGGCCCCTAGGCCTTAGCCTTAAAGCCCATGGTTAAGGTGTGAACAATAATAATATGGAGTCTTTCATCACATTGCTGTTATTTTTATAATATACTTGGAAGTCAAAGTTAATGTTTCAGGGGTAACTTAAGGGAAAAAAATTGTTCAATGGAGGGGATATGAAAAATAACTGTTATTTACATATTAGCTATTATAGAAGTAGCTTATCTTTTTAATTTTCTTTTCACTGTAAGATATATTGTCCCAAGACTGTAGTTCTTGGTGAGTTCACAAAACCCCAGTGGAGGGAGTCTAAGATTTTATTGTGGAATATCCACTTTAACTGTCTCCATAAATCCCACTGAGCAAACAATCCCCTAAGTCCACTTGAGCTATGCTGACACAAGAGTGTGTGGGACACTGGTTTAAGTAAATGTAGGGTGATGACACATACGCACACACATGCATTGCTTTGGATGTGTTTTCCCTCCCCTTTTTTTGGTAATTTTTTTTTTTGCCCTGAAGTGAAATTATGTCGATTTTACAGTATACTTAGTAAATTTCAGAACCTCAAGTCAAAGAATATGGGGCCAAAGACCCTAAGCTTCCCGGGCTTTAAATTAAATTAACAAATAAATAAGGAAAAATCCTTAGTTAAGTCTGATACACTCTGAGAAGGCAACTCGACTAGGAAATGTAGAAGAAATAAAAAACAAATAAAAACCCCAATATGTGAGATGAGAACAAAGAGCTACCTTATGCTGCAGCCGGCTGGGCCACTCAAACATTTCGTCAGCAGGACCTCAGCCAGCCTTCACAGCCACTTTTATAAAGCTGGCCCCGGGCACTCCAGAGTGACATGTGGCTGTGCCACCTACTGCTCCACAGCAGCTTCAGCGGGGCTGGCAGACTTGCCTGAGAGCCATGGCAAAGACTGGACTTGTAATTTGTATCCTGGTGATCACCCTACTCCTGGACCAGACCACCAGCCACGCGGCCAGATTAAAAGCTAGGAAGCACAGCAAACGCCGAGTGAAAGGTAAGGGGACTTTTCAGTCTAGCAGAACTCTAGGCTTCCTCAGCGTGGGAAGGGGCTGGGCCGTGCTCACGTCCTCAGTGGCAGCACTCGCTGCTGTGTGTGTGGCGCATTGCAGGGGGCTGGTGGTCTTTCACTTCTTAGGGACAGTCTGATATTTAAGGAAATCATGTGGCAAGATTTGTGTGTGCGTATGTTTGTGTGTGTGCTTGGGGTTTTTATACACACACACAAATACTTCATAATGTAAAAAACTTCTACAGGGAGTGTCCACTATCAGGTGGATTTCATACGTCGCACATTCTTCAGAGGGAGTGAACTCGGGTATGTGAACACTGGTATTACGGATATCGGGGCAGGCAGAACATAGGATTATCAGAGTGCACTGTTTCAATGTAGCATTTGAACATCTCCATTCTAATTTATTTCTAAGACAGGTATAGCTTTATGGAATGTGTATGCAAGGATTGAGCTATTGGTCATTGTGAAGTTCTTTTTTGTCATTGGTTATCATTACGTTGCCACATTCCTGGTCCTGTAAGAATATGTCGTGAAACTTACATGCAAAAGAAACTGAATCTTTATTTAACTTTAAAAAAAAATGTCAATATGTCAGTAACTGTTTGAAAGCATTTTGATAGGAAATTGAGTCTCTAAGCCAATTTAAAATTTTTAATGGCTTCAACTGGGTTAAAAAGCTTCCAAAAATGTTGCAAAAAATGAAGATGATGGCAAATTATCTATAATCTATAATATGTTGAAACCAAAGCAAATTTAAAAAGTATCAAGACACAGGATGATGTTTGATTTCACCCTCTGCATCATGGCAACATGTTTCAATGCAAATATTATGGAACTATACTCTTATTAATTCCACTTCATTAAAGAGTAAACAAAGAAAAATCCCCAACAAAGTACAAGTCTTATTGCTGAGACACAGACACAGCAAAGGGTGGGTGGGTAAAAAGAGGGCTTGTCTTCTGTTGTATTCTGGTGATTTCTATGGGGCATTGATTTACAAAATTTAGGTCTGATGCAAGGTTTCCTGAGTACTTTTTCCTTATGGATACTGTACTTTATTCTTTTAAAGATTAAAAATATGACCTGAGTACTTCACGTATATACTAAAGATGAAGGCAGGGGAAGGAGCAAGTATTCTGTGGATGTTTGTACTGGGAAATGGTGACCACTCAGCAGGGATACAAGGAAAGGGAATGAACAGGGAAAATGTGTTCTCTCCCCTCCGCTTACACACATGCCTGTACATACTTTTTTCTTTAACCCACTGTGTGCACACCTTAGAAATCACCACCCTAGGATCCATGTCTGCTGACTTTTGACGCTAGTCAAAATTAAGAAAGTAGATCTACAGGAAGTAAACCAGTAAGTCTGTTTGCCCAGAGGTTCTTCCCTACCCCTCTCTCCTTTCTATTATTTTAAGTACCTTGAAATAAATCCAAAATTTATTAACTCAGAGTTGAACGCCATTTTCTCCCTCTTGCTCTGTTCTCACACAGCATTCTTTACTTAACTGCTAGATGATAACATGCCTGGAGATTCTTAAGTACACAATTAACATTTGTACTTTTGTAAATACAAACAGAATTGACTATACAAAACTTGTAACAAAATAAAAACTGGTTGTATAAAATGCATGTAAGTAATTCTGTTATTAAATCCTGGACAGCAATCAATGTAAGGAATTTCTTAGCATTTTGTTTTTCTTAAGGGGAGAACTAGTTTCCCTTAGATTCCAACTAGAATATCTTAATTCTTTTTATTTTTATTTACTTGAAAGGCAGATACAGAAATCTTCCACCCACGGATTCACTCCCCAAATGACCCATGGCAGCCTGGGCTGAGCCAGGCTCAAATCAGGAGCCAAGAACTCTATCCAGGTCTCCCACACAGGTGGCAGGAATCCAAGTATTTGAGCCATTACCTGCTGCTTTCCAGGGTATGCATTAACAGGAAGCTAGAATTGGGAGCAGAGTCAGGACATGAACCCAAGTACTCCAATGTGAGATGCAGGGATCCCAAACAGACCCCACCTGCTGTGCCAAATACCTGCCCTGTCATTCGTTTTAATAGTTGCATAATATTCCACTGTTTGGGTGAGTCATGATTTAATCTGTTCTTAGTGAAATTTTCTGTGGTTTCCAGTACATTTCCCCTTGACTTAACATCCCCAATGAGCTGCTTTGTGCATACTTATTTTTTTTAAAAAAGATTTATTTATTTACTTCAAAGTCAGAGTTACATAGAGAGAGTAGGAGAGGCAGAGAGAGAGACAGAGAGACAGAGAGAGAGATCTTCCATCCGCTGGTTTACTCCCCAGTTGGCCGCAATGGCCAGAGCTGTGCCGATCCGGAGCCAGGAGCCTCCTCCAGGTCTCCCATGTGGGTGCGGGGACCCAAAGTCTTGGACCATCTTCTACTGCTTTGCCAGGCCATAGCAGAGAGCTGAATCAGAAGTGGAGCAGCCGGGACTCGAACCTGTGCCCAAATGGGATGCCAGCACTGCAGGTGGCAGCTTTACCCGCTAAGCCACTGTGCCAGCCCCTATGCATACATAGGACATTGCTAAAAGGAAAATTCCAAGTTGGTAACACTTCCTAATGGTTTCTCCCAGTGTTAACCCTAAACCATGCACTGTCTTCATTGTGTGAGAATGCTTTCAACACACCTTGACAACTCAACATTTTATCACAGTTTTGTTGGTTGTTGCTTCTGGGGACTGATTTTGCATTTCTACACTGTACCTACTTCTGAGAACAACCATCATAACATGAAAGGGAGCCTTTTATGGGACTCAAAATGGCAATTGAGCAATTTAGCTCCAAACCAAAATTTCCCTGGTACTTACTTCCTAGATCTCAACAAATTATATGCTGCATTAATGAATGAAATGTAATTTTTACTGTTTAATAGTTGTTCTGTGTATTGCCTTCCTTTATTATAGACAAAACACATTCACTTAGCTGCAAAGGATGAAAGCTGAAGACAAGTCACCTGGATAATGATTTCCTAATGATCTCTCAGGAGTCTAATGTTAACTAATTTGCCTTCAAGCTAATTACAATGTTTATGGTCTCCCAGTAGAGGCCACTTATTTAAACAGAATGGGAGCAGGCATTTGGCCTAGTGGTTAACATGCCTGCCTTGCACACTGGAGTGCCTGGGTTTGAGTCCAAGATCCCAATTCCCGAATCCCACTTCCTCCAACTGTGAACCCTGGGAGCCAGCAGGTGACAGCTCAAATAATGGGGTCCCTGGGACACCTAGAGTGAGTTCCTCATTCCCAGATTCAGCCCAAGCTAGTACAGCTCTTGGGGAAAGAACCAATGGATTTGAATTATTCCCCTTCTCCCTTCCTTCCTCCCTCTCATATACACATATATCCATAAGCAAGAACCTGACAGGATGGACACCATACCTGTAGAGTTGGCAACTTGCAGCTCAGAAGCATGTCTTCAGCAGCTTCGCACACCTGGACAACAACAGCTGGTGATTTTGCTTTCTAAGTGAACTCTTGTTTTTATTCTGGATTGAATGACCTCACAAGAACATCCTTGGGTTATTCCATTTCTGAGCTGAGTTATTGGATGCTTTGATGCATAGCATGAAGCTAAACAGTGACAGGGGCTCCTCCTGGAGACTTTAGAAGACATTTTCCTAACTTTAGTGTGGAAACATCTGGCTAGTAAAACTTAGGTTGAAGGACACAGACCATTGACACATTTGGATTCACACTGTCCTGGAAAACCCAAGACAGAAAACAGATTCTCCATATGGTAGTCCCACAGAGGCAGCTGGGGACAGTTCACAAGATTTAATTACCCTCTCTGTCTGAAGGGACCAAGAAGATCTATGTAGATTGGACAGATGGGAAGGAATAGGCTTGGATTAAGGGCAATCTAAATAATAACTCTGCACCGCCTTAGCTGGGTGGGTGACTCCCACAGGTTCACTTGGCTTCCTATGCCTCTCTTGCCTCTTCTGTCAAACAGAGCTAATAAAGTGCCTACCGCAGAGGAATACTGAAAGAATCCCCAGGCACACAGTATATGGTAGATGACAATATTTTTATTGTTCATTATGATTTATTATAATTCCTGACTTTGAGAATCTCACAAGCTGTCAATTTCCAAGTCCCCATCATGTCTGGAATTGCAATTTAGCCAATATTGCTCATTCTCCCCCACTTACTTATAGCTAAGATTGGCCATGAACATCCAGAATGATTCTTTAGACTCATCCAGGGATATTCAAGATTAAATAAGTGGCTATATACCTATATAGGTATATTTTCACATGGTCCTTTATCTCTTAACCCTGCTAGAAACCACTATGCCTGATCCATCACATATGTGGGGACTGTACAGACAGGGGTCCCACAGAAGTCTGAGTTTGAGTTCTACAGCACTTCTGCCGGGCCACTGAGCTCATCGTGTTCATCCTCATTCTACGATGGGGATCTGATTTTCCTCCCTTCAGTTTTTTTTTTTTTTTAAGATAAAGTGAAAATAACGTGAAAGTATTTTGTACACCCTGTTTATTCATTCAACCACTGTGATGAGCACTATCACCTAGCATTGTGTGTAGCATCCACAGCACCAGGGATGGCAAGACAAATCAAAGTCCATAAAGCACAGACCGGATCAGGGCTCCAAAGAAAACCAAGCAAGCTTGAGTGAAAGAGGTCCACAGAAGGGACTCTGATTGACATCGTAATCAGAAGTTTCCTCGGAAAAGGCAACAACTAAGCTTGGTAAACAGGGAGGAGCTGTGGAAAGCTTCATCCAGGCAACACACAGGGAGGTTGAGACAGAGCTCACTCTCAGATGCATCTGCAAGTCAGGGAGCCTGAAGCCACAGGATGAGATCAACAGACAGACAGGAGCCCTGAACTTGCAGAAGGATCCCCACCAAGCCCTTGCTCATCTTCTCTGGCAAGTTATGTTCATACATTATTCTTCAGGCACACTAGACTCAGGTCCATCAAAACCACCGTTGCTTTTAATTCTGCATTCCAAAGCTTTATTTCTGTGTCTTTTATTTGACGTTAATCATATACATTCCATTCTGCCTACCCTAAACTTCCTCCCAGAAAAGGATGGAGACCTGAAAACCCAAGTTGAAAAGCTCTGGAGAGAAGTCAATGCCCTCAAGGAAATGCAAGCCCTGCAGACAGGTAAGACCTTACTGCATAGGTGCCTAGCCCCAAAAGGAGAGAGGGAGCGGACTGGTGGTTGCCAGAGGTTTTCATTAGTCTAGGCCATGTGTCAAGATCTGGGTGACATCTTTTTGAAAGAAACATTGATAGGGCAGGTGTTGTGGTACAGTGGGTTAATATTTGCACTTCCAAAAGTTAATAGAAAACAGAATTAAAAGATAAGCTTATTTTGGTGCCAAACAATTTTTTAAATCCACCCCTACAGGGCAATCTTTAAAAAGTTCACAAAAAATGCAATTCATAGAAAACATGTGTGCATGTGAAATGGTTGGCAGCAAAATCAACTTACCTTTTTTTTTTAAAGATTCATTTTATTTATTTGAAAGGCAGAGTTACAGAGACAGAGAGGGAGAGACAGAGACAAAGAGATCTTCCACTCACTGGTTCACTCTCCTTATGGCTGCAACAGCTGGGGCTGGGCCAAGCCAAAGCTGGAGCCAGGAGCTTCTTTGGGTTCTCCCACATGGCAGGGGCCCACACACTTTCTGCTGATTTCCCAGGTGCATTAGCAGGCAGCTCAATAGGAAGCGGAGCACCTGGGACTCAAACTGGCACCCTTTGGGGATGCTTGCACTGCTATGTCACAGTGCCAGCCCCAACTTCTCTTTTAATTCCATTTTTCTGCAAACTTTTTGAAGTTCCTTCATATTTCATAGATATTCCAGGAACATATTTTAAAAATCAGGACCGGCGCCGCGGCTCACTAGGCTAATCCTCCACCTTGCGGCGCCAGCACACAGGGTTCTAGTCCCGGTCGGGGTGCCAGATTCTGTCCCGGTTGCCTCTCTTCCAGGCCAGCTCTCTGCTGTGGCCCCGGAGTGCAGTGGAGGATGGCCCAAGTGCTTGGGCCCTGCACCTGGCTCCTGCCATCGGATCAGCGCGGTGGGCCGGCCTCAGCACACCGGCCACAGCAGCCATTGGAGGATGAACCAACGGCAAAGGAAGACCTTTCTCTCTATCTCTCTCTCTCACTGTCCACTCTGCCTGTCAAAAAAAAAAAATCAGTCAGGAGTTGTTCTCTAATGAGTAATGAAGAGACCACTATGTGACTGAAGGGATTCACGTTGGTCGATGTTAACCAGACGCCCACAGGAAGATCCACCGAGCTTCAGCAGAACAAACTCACGAGGCTCACTCAGGCCACATTTGCCATCAGGTGCTCATGGAAGAACACCTGTTAGAATCACAGCCTGCCGGCAAGACTGTGTTTGCTGTTCCTTTTGCACAGCTGAAGAGCTCTCCGCAGCCTACACAGCCGTACACTCTAAGATCTGGGAGCTTTCTTCCTCACCCTCGAGAGTGAGGAAACAAGATCCACACTGGTTGGTGTGGAAACAACCCTGTTACAAAGATTTTACCCACAAGAGCCAGCTTCTCTAGCAGCAACTCCCAAAGTAGAGAGGAAAAGGCTCCCGCAGGAGCTCTGCCCCATCCTGAGCAAAGACTGGCGTTACACAGCTTCTGGCAACTATTTTAACTTCCAGCCACACATACATTGCCAACCTGCGGCCATTTTTACTGTAAGCAATGTTGCCTTATCACACGGGTGACATACTCTTGTTTCAGTCCAGGCAAAGAAAATCCAATGGAAATGCAATGTCTATGCAGAAGAGGAAAGGTCTTTTTAAACCCCTACTTCGAGTTGTGCACCATAAATACCTTATTAACTTTGAGACTTTAATCCTCCAACAACTTCCACTGCATATCCAGTTTATGCTGACTGCTCCAACAAGGTGTGCTATTACTACTGTGCTCACTTTATGGATGATGAAACTGAGGCACAGCTGGTCAAAGTCACTGATGAGACCTGAGCCCTATGGCTCATCCACTCTATGGCTGTGAAGCTTCTCTCACCAATGCTATCCCCTAAAGCTTCCTTTATATCTGGGTAATTCTAGAAACCTAAACAACATTACTAGGGTTCAGTTATCTGCCTAAGGAAACCACTTCATTCACATATACTCGGACTTGTTATTTTTTGTAATTTTAAAAATAGTTACCATCCAGTTCCAAAATCTCAGGGAAATTCAGCACATGTGGATCTACACAATATTAGTAATATGTGTATCAAAGAATCCCAAGACATAAGATCATGATCTGGGGTGAGGCAGTCCTTACAAGCCATCTAAGTTACAATTGGCATGCCAAGGTGTTGTAAGTCACAATTTTCTGAGCCTCCATGTCATACATGGGTGTGGAGGAGGCAGGGAGGATGTGTGCCTAGCCATTAAGACAGTCCCAGCAGAGTTCCTGGGTTCAATTCCCAGTTCCACTCCTCATCCCAGTTTCCTGTCCCTATAGACCGTGGGAGGCAGCATGGGTCCTTGTCACCCACATGGGAGAAGAGGGTTGAGTACCCAGATCCTGGCTTTGAGCCTGCCCAATCCCAGCCAGCTGTAGAGTTCAGTCTCAGCAATTTCTCTTAAAAAATTTTTAATTAAAAAATTTTTAAAAATTTTTTTACCATCTGATACTTTCTCACATTAATGTGATATTAATACAAAAAGTACAGATTCGTAGCTACAATTCTAAGAATATAAAAAAGAAAGAGAAAGCAGGACAGAGACAGAGGGAGGGAGGAAAAAGTTTTGTTTATTAAATGGAAGTAATGAAATAGCACATCATGGGTTGTTTGTGATTATTATATGAGTTCATTCATGTAAAGCACCTGCACAATGTCTCACATACAAACTCTTGAATAAATATCCATCATTATCACATCCGTCATTCATTACCCAAATATTTATTGCCATTGGTCAAGTCCAATCCTAGGCATACTGCACACCAAAAAGACCCTAATATGTCAAATTTTTAATCCTCACAGTCTGTCTCCGAGGAACAAAATATCTTAAGAAATGCTACCTTGCTTCAGAAGGCTTGAAGCATTACCATGAAGCCAATGAAGACTGCATTTCCAAGGGAGGGACCTTGGTTATCCCCAGGAACTCTGACGAAATCAACGCCCTCCGAGACTATGGTAAAAGGAGCATGCCAGGGGTCAATGACTTTTGGCTGGGCATCAATGACATGGTCTCAGATGGCAAGTTTGTTGACGTCAATGGAGCCACCATCTCCTTTATCAACTGGGACCGTGCACAGCCTAATGGTGGCAAGCGGGAAAACTGTGTCCTGTTCTCCCAGTCAGCTCAGGGGAAGTGGAGTGATGAGGTCTGTCGCAGCACTAAGAGGTACATCTGTGAGTTTACCATCCCTTAAGAAGCCCTGTCAAAACAATCTTCCAAGCAAGATCGGTTGTGACTTATAGTCTGATTGGACCCAAGAATAAGTCAACCTCATGATTATTAATTGCAAAGTTACAACATGGAAGCCAATGTCTGTAGCAATTCAACAGAGTCAGCTGATGTTGCCACCATGTTGCATTGCCATTTTGCCCTCCCTGGGCCACAGGGGATCAGAAAATAGCAATCTAGCCAGTGCACACTGTTTAGCAGCTTCTGCACATCACGCTATGAAATCCTCCTTTTACTTTCCTAGTCCCATTCACCTGCATACACTGAGTTATTTTTAAAAATACAATAGCTACACATCTCTTCAATCCAGGAAAGCAAGCTTGGGAATACCCAGGAGATTTCCTTCTTAAAATGTAACACATATTTGGTTGATGAGAATTCCCTCAACCAGAGATTCTGGGTATGATACCATCCAAAGACTTTTCTGCCTGACACCCAGCCTATGTATGCCCTCTTGGCAACAATACTTGTCAGTCCACAGCCCTTTCTCTGAATTGCTGAGTCTCCAAGCGAGATTTGTGTCTCATCTGCCATAGCAGAAGACAGAGGTCTGAAGAGATTGTGACTTAACCAACTATGCTTTCTTAAACCCATTGGAAGTTCCCAATCATAGTCCATCAGGAAATGACAAGATAGCATTTTTTTTCTATTCCGAGCATTATATTATAACTTCTGTCCTAAATGGATTACCCTAAGGCAGGGCATGGGCAGCAGACTGTATGGATAAAGAGGGAGAAAAAGCTATTTTTCTTTTGTTTTAGCTTCCTTACTCTCTTCTCTATGTAAAATTGAGAGAAAACTTACTTGTATGAATATATATTAGTTTCCTTTTTTATATTCTTTATATACTTATGAATTTTTCAATCATCATCATATATTTAAGTCTTTTAGGAACAATTTATCTTTGGAATTTGAAAATCAGATTTAAATCATACTATTTTGGAGTCACATCTATGCAATTTTTAATTCTGCCAAATTCTATTCCCATTAAACTGTTTGATTAGATTGTATATAATAACTTTATTAAGATGAAATTGCAGTTTAGGCTTAAGGGAAATAGACTTTTAGAAGTAAATAATTTTAAACATATTCTATTCTTCAAGTAAATATCATTTTTTCTTTAAATCTTAAATGTGTTTTGTGAGTAATAACCTTCCCTGCCAGCATTCACCGCATGTGCTTGGAATTAAGTTTCAGTTGTTTTCAGTGTACAATAATAAAGCCCGGGTTCCTATCAAGGTGGATGTGTTTGCATATTGATTATGTTGTGGACGCTTCATGGAGTTACAGGAAACCTGGCAGAATTTGTGGGGAAAACCCCCTGGTTTTCACAATCGTGATTCAGATGTACTAGGAGAATAAGCTTACCAAGCAATAAAAGATGCAATTCAGGGACAAGAAGACAACTTCTAAGAGAACTGCACTGGAGAGAGGGCAGCACTGTGGCGTACCAGGTAAAGCTGCCACCTTCAGTGCAGGAATCCCATATGGGCACTGGTTCAAGTTCCAGCTGCTCCACTTCTGAACCACCTCCTGCTAATGCACCTGGGAAAGCAGAGGAAGATGGCCCAAGTCCTTGGACCCCTGCACCCATGGGGAGACCCAGAAGAAGCTCCTGGCTTCTGGCTTCAGATCAGCACAGCTCTGGCTGTTGTGGCCATTTGGAGAGTGAACCAGTAGATGAAAGAATGAAAGATCTCGATCTCAATCTCTCGCTCTCCTTCTCTGTAACTCTTTTGAATTAACAAATAAATCCAAAAAGAAAATATTGTAGTGGGGCTGCTTTGGCATAATGGATTAGGCTGTCACTTGGGATGCCAACATCCCATATCAGAGTGCAGGTTCAAGTCTTGGCTGCTCCACTTTCAACCCAGATTCTGGCTAATGTACCTAAGAAGGCAGCAGAAGATGGCCCAAGTATTTGGGGCCCTGCCATCCACATGGGAGACCTGGAGGGAGTTCCAAATTCCCAGCAATTGTGTGGAGGAGGATCCTGAAGCAAGACAGAAAGTGCCCATAAGCAACAAGCAATGTCTCTTGTAACTTCCTGGTAGGAGGATAGCGACAATTGTGTCACACAAGTGTCATCCCAAGGGCCAAGGCTTGGCTTTCTGCAGACAGATGTCAGTTATATTCAAAACTCAGAAAGCTGGGACCCTGCACACCTCACCAGGAAACTGATTCTCTGTAGAGCAGTGCTTCTCAAACTTTTACCTTACAAACCTATAAAGCACCCAGTGTTCTCCTTTACTGCAGCTCCCATAGGCCTGGGCTGAGGCTAGATTGTGCATTCCTAACAAGCCTCAAGTAGATGCCAAAGGTTTGGACCACAGATCGAAGTGTGAACAGCAAAGCTCTAAATATTTATCTTCAGTCTCTGATTCCAGCAGTGTTCCCTCCCTTTAGCACAAAAGTCAAGGGTAGGATCTAGCAGGATCTACAGCTCATCTGTGTGAATAATAATAGATAGAAGTTCTTTAGCCTTCCACCAATGCTTCCAGTCACATGATTATGAGAGGCTTAGAGCAAAAACCAACTAAATTAAACACCAATTATAGACTCAATTTAGTGATCTGAAGGAGAACTTGCTTGGTGCAAGGCCTGATGACGCCTTTCACTTCCCTAGTACTGCTGAATAGTACTTCTTATCTAAACTTAGAAAGACTTTTGTGCTCTCAGATTAGTTAGAACTTTGATATCATCACCCGAAAGGGTACGTTTAATCAATGAAATCCACACAGTTTAGTCTTTGGAGCCCATTGTAAATAACATTTGCCAAATTTTAGCTAGATAAATATCTTATTTACTCTGATGGACTGTAAAGCACTGTGCTAGCTTACATGAGAGACAAACTAAGTTCTAGAACTCAGAGGGGGAGCAGGACTATGGGGGCCTACTAAGACATATTATCAGCTCCAAGAACATGTGGCAGTGAAGTAGATTTGCATCTTCTTCATATCTCATTTTTCCTAAATGGGAATCCATAAAATAGGCTATGATTTCAACAAATTTCTGCAAAGAACTACAGATTGAACACATACCAATAGTCAAAAGCCTGTGTACACAGCCAAGTAGGCAAAGCTGACACTTCCATTCCTCCTGTGGTTGGTTCCAGGAGGCATCCACAGTTCACGCAGAGCCAATTAGAATCATTTCTGGTGGTTATCATCTGAACACTGGGGGCAATGAAACACTTTACAATGAACCTGATACATCAGGACAAAGTGAATTTAAGGCTTTTGATAGAATTATTCCTTCTAGATGAATGCAAACAAAGATAATCAGTAATGAGAAATGAAGGCGCAAGGAAATAAAGGGGGTGGAGAGTTAGTTCACTTACTGCTTAGTCTATCATTCCAAACCCCTAAGGCGTTGACTTCTATTTCTGTGGATTCCATGAGCTACCCAACAAATCCTCCAAGTGATACAAGTTTCTCTTTTCATTCCAGCTACTTTGAATTGGTATGTCAGCCAGAATGGGCTAGGTTTTGACAAGTAACAATCTCAAATCCCAAGTGACTGCAAACAGCAATGGTTTATTTCACAATTTTCAAATCTATTATGCATTAAAAAAGAACACTCTGTTGTTGTACCTATGTTTTTGCTCCAAGCCTCTCGTAATTGTACCTATTCTGGGAGGGAGCCGCTGGAGCAGCACCTCTGTAAAATCCCATCAGCTTCTACAGCAGAGGACAAGAGAGCTCTGGACAAAGCTCAGCAGCCCTAGAATTACTTCCACTCACAGGGGGACTTGCAAGTGCAGTTCTTCCAAATGCCCAAGAGGTGGAGAGCTTGACTTGGGGAGCCGAAAAGTGCCTCCCATGGCTGGGTTTCTGTCAAGTGAAACAACTCTGATTAACACAGCTATGAAGAAAGCTGGGGCTGGAAAGATCTGCAGTCCAGTGGAAGAATGTGGGTTCACAGAGATAGGAAGTAGAGTTCCATGGACAAAGAGAAGTCCACTGTAAAAAAAATGGAAATTGACTCCATGGCTTCAAAAACTGGAGTCAATTTTAACTCTTTTCAACAGTACAGATTGAAATTATTATGTGCAATTCCAAAGGCAGGCTCTTGGCATCTGTGAGAGTTTTCTAGAGAAGTGGGAACTGCATTTTTAAGTATCTAGGGAGATGGCATATGCAAATTATGTCTGATTAAAAGCCAGTTATTCTAGTTGCTCAATATATCTCATTTACTGAATAGAGTAACCTTAGGTTACATTCCAATTTACCCAGGGCACTGCTGGTGACTGCCAATTGTTCTGGAATTTTTAACACACTTTCTTCCCTCTGAAAGTTTCCTAGTCTGGATAAAAAATTATATATGACCATCCTAACTCACACAGATATGCAGATTTTACCAATGCCTCCACTTTAAATTTCTACCTCTTTTGCTTTTAATCTAAGCCACTCCACTCGTGAGGACCTGTTGCACTCCAGTGATTCACACCAGCTGCACTCTGCCTGTCCTTCTCTTTCCTCAGTGTAGAACTATTATTATCCACTTGTATCATTGATGAATTTTACATTTCTGGTGAATTTCTCCTCATTCTTTAAGATTCTACACAATAGGACATCTGCCAAAAGACATTCCTTCCCCTGTGCCGTCATAATACCTTAAATGATTCACAACACTTACTGCATTTGTCTAACAATGGACAAATGCATCTCTCCTACTTCTAACCTTTCAGAGGCTTTCCAATTCCTTAAAAACTAAACTGTTGCATAGCAGGTGAAGCCCACCTGAAGTGCTGGCATCCCATATGGGCACTGGTTCCAGTCCCAGCTGCTCACTTCCGATCCAGCTCTCTGCTACAGCCTGGGAAAGCATTAGAAGATGTCCCAACTCCTTGGGCCCCTGCACCCACATGGGAGAACAGGAAGAAGCTCCTGGCTTCGGACCGGCCCAGCTCCAGCTGTTGTGGCCAATTGGAGAGTGAACCACAGACACAAGACCTCTCTCTCTCTCTCTCTCTCTCCCTTTGCCTCCTTCTTTCTCTGTGTAACTCAAATAAATAAATTTTTTAAAAAAGAATAAGAAACAACTAAACTCTAGCATTGTGGCGTAGCGGGTAAAGCCACCAATTGCAATGCCAGCATCCCCTATGGGAGCCAGTTTGAGTTCTGGCTGCTCCACTTCAGATCCAGCTCTTTTCTAATGTGCCTGGGGAAGCAGTGGAAGATGGCCCAAGTTCTTGGGCCTCTGCTGCCACATGGGAAACCCAGAAGAAGCTCTTGGCTTAGGACTGGCCCAGGTCTAGCCACTGTGGCCATTTGGGGAAGGAACCAGCTGGTGGAAGGTTGGTTTGTAGTCTGTCTCTCTCTCCACTCTTCTCTCTTTCTGCCTCTGCCTCTCTGTAATGCTGCCTTTCAAATAAATAAATCTCTAAAAATATTAAAAATAAATCCCTTTCTCCTCCCCCCCATTAGTCTGTCTCAGTCTTAAATAAACAAACTAAACTCTAATATGACCTGGAAAGGCTTTAAGTCTTGCGTTTCATCCCTCTCCACCTCTCCTTCCTTAATGTTGCATTCTCTAGATTTATTCCCAACCTTTCTAGGCATCACTTTCCTCCTACAACAAGATAGGGCACTCATTTTTATCTCTGCTGAAAAGCTCTTACATGTTCAACTAGCTAAATCTTGCACATTCTTCAGGCTTTAGTTAATTAAAACTTCGTCAGGGAAACTTTGAGCTCCAATGACAGCATTCAGGGGCACATTTGGCTGCAGGTAACTGAAACTATGACTTAGGGTGGATTAAACAAACTGGGGTTTCTATTGACTATGAAAACAAATTCTTAATGTGGGCAATTCTTAGCATTGTCTCAGCAGCTCAGTCAAGTCAGGATCAACATTTCTACAATTCCGTGGGCCTTTCTTTAGAATCACAAATTGTCGGCCATGGCCCCAGACAGCACATTCACAACCAAGGTGGGAAGGCAGAGTGGCATCACCAGCCTGCTGTGTTCTCTTGTAACTGACCTCCTTCAGCAGATCGCTGGCTGAGTCTCTGTGGCTGTAACTCTGTTGGGTGCATGCCTTAATCCATGAATGGCTGGGAAAAGGTCATTTTTCTTGTGTATTTTGTTACCCAAAATAGAATTGGGGTTCTGTTAATGAGAAAGAAAAGGAAATGGAGGAAATAGAAAATTTTAAATAGCAGACTCTGCCAGAGTCAGAGTCCCCCCCCCCCTTTGCTCTAAGTTTCCATAGCACCACCAACCTCTTACTTGTTT